TGATGATCTGTGATGTGATGATTTGTGATATGTTGTGATGTGATGATTTGTGATTTGATGATCTGTGATGTGATGATTTGTGAGGTGATGCTCTGTGATGTGATGATCTGTGATGTGATGTTTGATGATTTGATGATCTGTGATATGATTTGTGATTTGATGATCTGTGATGTGATGATTTGTGAGGTGATGCTCTGTGATGTGATGATCTGTGATGTGATGTTTTGTGATTTGATGATCTGTGATGTGATGATTTGTGATATGTTGTGATATGATGTGATGATTTGTGATTTGATAATCTGTGATGTGATGATCTGTGATGTGATGATTTGTGATGTGATGATTGATCTGAGATGTGATGATCTGTGATGATCTGTGATTTGATGATCTGTGATATGATGATTTGTGATGTGATGATCTGTAATGTGATAATCTGAGATGTGATGATTTGTGATGTGATGATCTGTGATGTGATGATTGATCTGAGATGTGATGATCTGAGATGTGATGATTTGTGATGTGATGATTTGTGATGTGATGATTTGTGATGTGATGATCTGCGATGTGATGATTTGTGATTTGATGATCTGTGATGTGATGATCTGAGATGTGATGATGTTGAGTGGAGACGTGATGTGATGATTTGCGATGTGATAATTTGTGATGTGATGATCTGTGATTTGATGATTTGTGATGTGATGATCTGTAATGTGATAATCTGAGATGTGATGATTTGTGATGTGATGATCTCTGATGTGATGATTGATCTGAGATGTGATGATCTGTGATGTGATGATCTGTAATGTGATGATTTGTGATGTGATGATCTGTAATGTGATAATCTGAGATGTGATGTGGTCAGATGATGTGATACTCACCGTCCAGCTCCGGCTGAGACAACTCTCGCTCCTGACAGAAAACACAGAGAGATCACATTAGTTGTGTATGTGGTTGTTAAAAGAGCTAATGATCTGAAAGAATCAAGTGTTGTTTTGATTAGAGGCTCAGAATCAATCAGGACACATTCAGATTAAAGCTTCCGACTCAATCCAAGTTTCCATGGCATGTTTTGGGTCACAGAACAATCGCTCAAGATTCAACATTATGGTCACTGTTTACTTGTGTGCTTCTCTTTCATATTCTCACTCTGCCTCGATTAGCATCACATGCTGGAAATAGTGATGGTGGCTCCCTAAAGGTCAAACTGAGTATCAAATGAGCTCTTTCATCATCTTCAGTAGATTTGAATATACAGTTTGCTAATTTCACTAACTGGGTAGAAATTTAAAAATAGAGTTTGTCTATCAAAAAAAAAACATTAACATTAAAATCTTAAATGATTAGAATTTTAAAAACTGTTTTAAAAACAACACTAGAATGGGAACAGATTTTATATTTCATATAAAAGTAATCCGAAACATTTCAAACACATCAAAACTCAGATTTCACATTTCATTTGTTTTCAACACTATAAGAAGGAATCAGAAATGAAATGTAGGAAACACAGAGACACGCGTGTAGAGCACGAGTCAAGTCATG